CAACCACCACCAATCAGACTGGTCGGAATGGTTACCGTTGGCCGAGGTTTGCCTACAATGACAAAGCTCATGCTTTGACCAAGGTCTCGCCATTCTTCCTAGATCATGGGTACCATCCCTGGAAAGGCGTCGAAGGACCATATGACTCTAAGGTCGAGGCAGCAGAAGAATTCGCAAAAAAGATGCAGCGCGTGCGTGAGGATGCAACGGTGGCAATTAAGAAGGCCCAAGAGCGGATGAAGAAGTACTATGACCAGAAACGTGTACCAGCACCTGAGTTCAAAGTCGGAGACAAGGTGTACGTTGAAGGGTCAAAAGTGCAACAGAATCGACCATCCGAGAAGCTCAATGATCGACGTGTGGGACCATTCAAAGTGGAGGCAAAGGTTGGACCTTCGGCATACGAACTCAAGATGCCAGGTTCTAGTCAGGCTCATCCAGTCTACAATGAGACAGAGCTGACACCTTACCACGAGCCACCACCCCACCGGCGAGAAGAAAGGCCGCCACCGGACATTGTGGATGATCACGAGGAGTGGGAGGTTGAGGAGATTATGAAGAAGCGGAAGCGTGGTCGTGGTTGGCAGTATCTGGTGAAGTGGAAGGGATACCCGCATAGCGAGGATACATGGGAGACGGCGCAAAGGCTTGAGAACTCTCAAGAATTGTTAGACGAGTTCAACCAGAAGAACCCAGTGGTCAAGACCCATAGTGTGCCTGTCCTTGCCCAGGGTCATTGGGATTACCTGGTCAAACGTTATAAGCCGACGCAAGAGAAGCTCCCATATCCGTCCCGGAAACTCTTTAATTATCAGACTGGCCATTTTGTGGAGGCTGAAGGGGGGGGTGGATGATGAACGCGCTTTAATGCCCTCTGTCGACGAGGACGTCGACCTTGAAGGGGGGGTAATGTCAAACCCTGGGTTAAAAAACCCTTTTTCCTTGCCTTTTAAACCTTTTATTTTGGCCCTGGTTGATAAGATAAGACAAGGAGGAGATAAGATGGACGATAAGATGGTGATTGGATCATCAGATGTCGATGCTGATGTTGATTGACAGCGTGGAGTTGAACATGAGGCAAACAGCACGTAAAGGCATGGCTAAAGTATGATGTCATTGCCTCTCGTATTAGGCATGGTAAACACATGGTAGTAGTGTATATAAGTAGAGTAGATTTCGTCTTGTACCCCAGTCTTCGAATTCCATCATCTTTACGATATCTTTTCACGGTGCTTCTTGCTTGCCTTCACTGGCCAACTGGCATCCTCTGAATTGGTGTTGTTTGTGACAGGAGTCCTCTGAAAAAGATAAAGACATGGTTGTCTGTCTTGATTCACAAGTGTTGCATAGAAAGAAATCTATTATACTAATCAGCAATCCTATATCATCAAATCAAAGAAGATAAAAAATGCCTTTATCACATTCAATACATTGCCAGAAGGGACGTTTAAGGACTGTATCACAATCATTGCATGTTAAATGTGCATGAGAGTGCAAGATGTCCTGCTGTTTGATGACTGGATGTGGTTTTTCTTGTGACATAGCTTCTATAACTTTTTGCTTTTTCTGCTTTGCATTATAGATCATCCTAGCCATCTGTCGATTATATATCATAGAAACTCTTTTTATGAGAAAATAAGTGGAAGGATCATGGATTTTGTCTCCATTTCTTGCCACTATATTCTTGCAATCTTCACAGAGATCGACTCCATCCACAATACTTTCAGAGGAAATACACTCAAGACATCTATAGTTAAAAATCATAAATTAGTAATAAAAATAAGAAAAAGAATTACTTGTATCGGGCTCCAATGATCTGTCGCCGACAGACGTCACACCATAAATTACTTATAAAAAGTTAGCTCAATAATATGATATAATATACAAGACAAACAGGTGAAAGCATTCTTGTTCAAGCCGCATTTGAGCTTGCCATGTATAGCATTGAATATCTTCTGACCGAAGCTGGCTCCGCAACTGATTGCAGATATCCATATATTCATTGAGATATAAATCTTCCTCATTCAATTTCCATTTCCGACGATAATAATTTTGATCTAAAGCTGCTGAAAGATGCTAAGTAAGAAATCAGATATATGTATACAGTATATATACAAGTGGATATATACCATTTGAGCCTCAATAAATTTCTTGCGGGTTGCACTTCGCTTGCGACAGTATTTGGTATTAAGCAATTTGCGCTGTACTTGCTCTTCCCGAATACTGAGAATAAGCTTCCAGTAAGCTTTGTACCGGTCCTTTTGAAACTCTGCAGTTGAAGGACGATGTCGAGCAACAATAGCTGGGGTCCGATCCATATGAAAGGTACCATAGCCATGAAAATCATCTGAAGTAGTAACCAGAGGACCCCATTCCCCATCCATTGCAGTCATTCTGTTCGATTCCATAGTAACAGTTCCCAAATATGACCAGATAGGTGTTTCCTTTAATCCTGTCAGATATCTTTTTGTGAAAAATATCTTGGACATATTTGCGGATTGATTATCTGTTGTAATACTGCCTGTAATCTCAAACTTGCCAACAGTATCTGTACCAGATCCAGCAAAATGCTGAGTACTATTATTGAGAAAATACAGATGAGCAGAAACTGGCCCATCTTGTCTTGCTGTAATATTGCCATATGTATATGTGCCTGTCCAAAGACCATCAAATGGACTAGTTGGGGCTTCATCATCTTGATCAATAACCTGGTAGATATATCTGGGAATACCAAGTTCTGGTTGAGCATACTTCAAAATGCTCTTATCTGGCAGAATTGCCTGATAATCATTAAGACCAAAATCAACAGGGGAATCCTGATAGTTATATACATGAAAATCATCTTGGAAAGGGATTAGATGTTTAGTTACTTTCTTTCAAACCTACATTTGTTTGATGGTCCATTGAGAAATTGATAGACAATATAAAACCGTACAGTTATTCAACAAGGCATATGATATGGATATTATACTATGCCTACCATGCCATTGTATGCATGTTTAAATTCATTTTGAGGATCACGGTTTTGAGCTCTAAAATTACCTTGATTTACTATGCTTTAGTTTGTTGAATGGATGTTGAGATGGAAACATACTTTCTAGAGTCTTAACTTGTGATTGAATGGCTTCAAGTAGTATGGTGAATGATTTTTGAGCAGTATATAGTTCCCGATCATCTAGAGCCTCTGTACAAGCCAAGGATATGATTTTGAGATGATGTCGCAACAACAATACTATGACTGGGAGGAGATACTATATAATATTATTAGCTATAGTAATACTAAGAATAGGGCAGGTGATATTACCTGTTCAATTCTTCCTGTTCCAGTGATTGCCTATGAGATTCTTGATGTTAGTACTTATATATATGCTGAAGTCAGTATACCAAGAGTGTGTTATAGGCATCAAGTTGCCACACAAAACTCTCTAAACCATGTTCCAACCTCTGCTCCTCTGTTGAAGAATACTCCATACTAATTTTTCTCTATTAGTACAAATTAATGACATGATTAATGGAACATACAAGTGGGACATGAGTGTATAATCTTCCCCTTCATAACTTTTATTCATAAACTGTATCACTCCACGTGACAGAAAGTCAAGTATATTTAGCTCTCGGCTTTCAAGATATTTATCAAAGCGTGCACGGTTTGATGGTAGAATGTGAGCAGCAAGTGCCATCATTTGACTATGTATTTCATCAATTTCCTGTGCATACCAGAATGATATGACTTTGAAACCTATTGATAGTTCAATATTTTAGATTCTTTGATTTATATATCCAGATCATCCTACCTGCTGCCCAGTATGCAAGCCATGCAAGAACAGAGTAGTTAGAGGGCCGGGAAGCTGTAAATATATTTGCTTCTTGGACTGATATCCATCCAGACCCATCATCATCAAAGGCTTCAACAATGTTGCGAACCCTTGTCAAAGTGATATATTCAATCTAGGGTTGATAAATTATTATCTCAAAATCAAATTTCTAAGAAGACTCACTGCCCACCGATCTTCAAGCTGATCTTGCAGAGTCTTCTCATCAAGTATTCTGTCAAGTACAACACTTGGAGCAGCTATACTGTGAGCACCATGTCAGCGTCGGGCTCGGGCTGTATCGGGGCGTCGGGGGGTCCGACTTCGAAGGGGTCTGAGGAGCACGAGAGATGGGTATTCGCCCGGAGAATAGACGATATTAGCCTAGCGACTACATCTTGTAAGTACGACTTTTATACGCTACGGTATTAGGGATGGATCGGATGGGCGCCAGGTCCCAGGGCGGATCGGATGGGCGCTGCGTAGGGCCGTAGGGGTGAACGGAAGGGGTTGGAAGAATGAGGGGGCGTCCAGGAGGGCGGCGGTATACGGGCCCGTGCGGGCCCGTTCGGGCCCGAACGGCCCGACCCGAACCGTGACATCACCCCCTCCGTTGTGGGCGGCGTCTCGACGCCCTATGGGTCCGCGTCCCCTGGTCTTGCTTTTGGATTTTCCATCGGCCGTTTACGAGTTCTTCGCGGGGCGCGAATGGGTTGAGAGTATAGAAGTCCTCGAGTGCCTCTTCTGCACCCTCCAGTTTGTCCCGCAATTCCCACGTCCACTCTTCCCGAGGGTAGCCTTTCCACTGAATTAAGTACCTCAGGCGGTGTCGACCTTGCTTGCGTACGAGGGAAATGGCCTCGACTTCGTAGTGAGGCTCGCCGTCCCGCATTTCTGCCGGGGGTGGTGGGGCGGCCCGTTGATGATCGGCTACTGGCACCTGTGGTTGGCAACATTTGTCAACTGCACTCAATGCACCCAGCCAAACCGGTGTCAAATCCGCTAGCTCCTGTCAGGCTGACCCCAGCTAGTGCATTTGTCAAAGTACCCCCCACCTACACCTCCTTCTCATCAACAGCTTAAACGGCTTATTTCGGCTCTGGGCCCACATCAATGACATCAAACGATCAAAATCCTGTTAAGTACTAATACAGCATCATTAACTCTAAGTCCTAATCCAGAAGATAACTAATCTTCGCCAACTGACGTCATCGTTGTCAGTGGCTCCACTACTGCTGCCGCACGAATAGCCGCCACACCTGAAGTGCCCCAGCTTGCGCGAAATGCCTCCTCGACCCCCCGATAGATGTATGCTTGGCGCTTAGCATACGCTGTTAAGCCCGCTGCCAACTCCTCGTCCACGTCATCTCGTAACTGCTCTCGTTCCTTCCACTCTCTTTGCACAACCTCGACACTCTTGATAACGCGACGCATCTCCTCCCGCAAGAGATGTACTTCTTCAATCCATCGGTCGCGTCGAGCGCGTGACTTGGTCCATTGCACGCGGACCGCTACCAGAAACACGATTAGCTCCTGAATGCTGGCGCAGTCAAACACCCACAGTCATGTAGTTCCTCTTTATCAGCCTCCCCACCTGCAAACCATATCCACGACACAGGCAACATCTTCTTTGTCACGGGCGGTTCATTTCGCGCACGCCTCGTTGAGCCTAGCTTCCCCAAAGCTGCCCGCGCCTTGGCATCGCTCTCCGATTCGACATGTACCCGTAGATCTTCATCGCGCAGCTCCCGGAACTGTGGCGCAAACTCGGGGCCCTTCAGTCGCAACAGGGCTAATCTCGCCTCTCGATATTTGTTCGCTTGACGCCGAGCCTGATCCCCCACCCTGCCGATTAATGTCCCAAACCTGGTGCTCGAGCTTTGCCCAACCGCATTCGCATTGCGCGTATCGATTAAGTGGGTCTTCGCATGAAGATGCCCACGGATTTTGCCCAGAGCATCAGCGCACTGCCCTAGTCGGAGTTGGGCTTCTATCTCCACCAATGCGGGCCTGCAGATAGCCTCGCGCTGCTCCACCGATAGGTCGCTTGGCAGCCAAAGCTTCGTTGTTTCGGCAGGTGGGGGAGGAAGGTCGGCATCGCGTTTCTCCTCCTCCGCAGAGCGCAATTCTTCCACACCTGGCATGAATACCATTTGGTGCGTCTCCAATGTGCGCAGCTTCTTGAGGACTGCCACACGTAGTCGTCCAGCTGACTTGAGCGCTCAGCAGTCAAAGTCATCGTCCCGCTTGCTTCAAAACGAATACGGCGTCTAGAGCATGCTTCAGCCCATCGCTAGATGGTTAAAAAGGTGTCAACTCACTGTTGGTCTTCGAGTTGTAGTGCACCCTTGATAAATGCAGCAGCTGTTGTTCTACCCGCTCCCAATTCACTTCCGCGTCCACTGCGCAGTTGCTCCAATTCCGACTTCTTCAGATCTGCAAGAATCTGTGCCTCTGAAGGTCCCGCTGTATACGAAGCAGTGAGAGCCGGTTATAGACAAGACTACACACACATACCGTGCTTCGCGTCTGAAAGGTAAGGATTCGGGCACGTTTTATCCGCATTCCAAGCGTCAACTTTGAGCTGCCACTCTTCTCGCAATGAGGGCTCGAGGCTGTCGTCCACTTGGTTGAACTCTCTGACTTGCTGATCACGCTCTGCCAAAGCGATGATCATTTTCCTTGCCAATGTATCTCCTGCATCGTTGGTAATCAGTTTGGTGAAACCGAAGTAATAATCGTCCCGACCTTGCTTGACGTTCTTCTCAAAATTGACGTGATCGACCTTGTCTTCAATCGTATCATGTCGGTTGCCCTCTCCCATCTCCTTGGTCGAGAACGCGATGGGGTTCAAGATCGCCCATGTTCTTTCAATACCCTCTCCGTCTGTCCGCCCAACGCCGACTGCATGTGTCAAAGAATTTGCCGCTTGACAACTGGATTCATGAGCAACAGCGTGCCAAACAGGGAGCGCGAATTGCAACGCGTAGTCGTCTAGTTGCGTCGTGACAAGTTCCTGGTCGTGGAGTTTTTTCGCTCGCTCTCGAATGTGTTGCTGCCATTGGCACGCGATATCGTAGGACACAACGAGTCGCTTTAAGCCCGCGCCACCCACAGCGTTGAGGAAAATCCAGTCCATATTCGCGTAGCTGCGGCTAATCAGTAACAAAGATGGGCGGCACTGTCAAACGCTCCGCTCCCCTTCTGCAAGTCCCCTAGTCCCAATGGTCGAACAAGTCCGTGGCGAGCACAGACACAGCCGCCGACACCAGATACCCTAAGGCCCGTTGTAAGCCTCGTTTCCTTCTGCATCAATGCCGCGAAAGCAATACAAGTGCTGACCTGGTAACTGTCAGCAATGTGAAAGAAAGCAAACGATGATGCATACATCTTCTTCAGCAACGTAGTGCCGAAGATGCTCCTTGTACTGATTTAGCTCCACGAAATAACCGAGACCACTTCCTAGTGAAGGGTCATTGCGTTCGTTCCCTCGAATCCGGTTCTTCAGGCGGAAGTTCGCGTCGAGGGCCAGCATTAGGGAGTACAGATATCTGGTGGTCAATCAACAAAGCTTAATTGTAACGAGTTCAAGAACACATACGATTTGGACTTGTCGACCGTGTCCCAGCCCTCCGGCAAGTTGCGATTGGGATCAGGGCATGCCCAGCAATGAACAGCCAGGCCACCTGCAGGGATATCTGCCAAGCCCTCTTTTTTGCGTGCCGCGTCCGGCCCGTTTGGCACGAAGAAGGAAATCGTATTGTCGACTCATCCTTCCGAAAGCCTTGTAACGATCCTTGGGTTGTTAGGGTTAATTAGGATTAAACAGAGATGAATGATGACTTACCGGAACCTGCTCAGTAAACGTTGCGTTCGTCATCCGCTCCAGGGACCCCACAAAGTCATGCGCGTTCATATTCCCAACGACCTTGAGTGTTCTGAAGAGATCGAGAACTCGGAATGTCGCACACGTGGCGGGCTCCATGGTCGTCGCTGGGTACCAAGCATTGTCTAAAAGCTGAGACAGATGCATGTGTTTGTGGCGCAGACTAGCGCTACAGGCGCAAAACCTTGTGAATCATCAGCATGGTCTGGTCTGGTGCGACCAACGCTACTGACCTCACATCCACCTTGAAAATGCCTCCCACATCAATGACGACCAGTGTTCGTACTCGCGATTCGGGATACGGGCACGGAAATCCATGGTGGCCAAGCTGGTACACCATTCCAAGACCACTGCGACTGAAAAGTGTCGATTTACGCCAAAAGTCTGTCTGGACTCTAGGTCTGGACCCAGTATCAGTCAATACTAACGAGCTTTTTAGAAGAAGGCCGTACTTGGGGAGAATGCAGAGGTAACTGCTCGTGTCGACTACGCAGGCACTCCTCGCAATGAATGGATGGACCACATTCGGTGCAGCGAAATGCGCGTGAATTGGAGCCCTCGCCGAGCGACTCCCCACAAGCGGCGCACGAAGGGCGAGTGCCATGTCTCCCCAGTGTTTCCCCTCGTATAAGTTCGTCAAGGTAGGCGCGCATCATCGGGCGCCAAAGAGCCATGGGGTCATCCTGCAGAGCTATCTAGTCAGACTAATGATAACAAAGGAAAGATGACACACCGAGGCCGTGCGCTTGCGCTTTCCTGCGTGCTGGTCATCCTCCAATGGCTGAGGTTCTGACGATATGGTCAGCGCGATGGCTGCCAGCTCTTCGTCCGCCAGGTCCAAGAACGGCATCCATTCTGCCAGGTCCTCGGTTGCTTGAACCCGCGTAGCTGCGGTTGGCGCGAGATTGAGAAGACGAGACGAAGTGTTGCGGCCACTGGTGAGAAAGTGTACGCTGGTGTCGCCTTGTACTTGGCTGGGCGGAAGGCCGCCCACATGGACCTTTGGTTTCCTCTTGCGCTGTCGGGACATTGAGTGAGGGAACAACTAAAGGCAAAAAGCGAGCCCCGCTCACAGTAAGATCCCCTTGTCGTTTTAGAGAAGAAGACGCGTGTTGACGATTTGATCGTCACGGTATGTCACATACACTGATCCGAATTGGACCGATCATTTGGGAATCGTAATTTACAGCTCAACTACGAAAACAGTCCTTGTCGGTCAAAGCTTAGATTTATAAACGGGCTGGTGGCGAAGCGTCTGCTTCTTCTCGCTGAGGAGAAGTTTTTTATCCCTGAATCCAAGGTCAAAATGTGCGGAAGGAGAATTTGAATACTTACTCTGCAGCATCGGCCCAAGCTGTTTCGATCAGCTCACCACATGTGTAGGAGTCCATCATAAGGGTTCGCGTTGCTGCTACTGCCGGCGCGTGCCAAGGCATGGTGAGATACAACAGTTCTGCGTTCCAGAATCGGAGAAATTGGCAAGAGATGTCGTAAGTTGTCGAGATGAATCCCTTGGTCAAATGCGCAGAGTACCAGTGCTGCCAGTGGATACCTGGAAAGTATTGCTCTCCAAGACTCAAATCGTGTCGACGCGAGTTGGTAGAGATGGGACGCGGGATTGAAGCCTTTGCGAGGGCCCGGGCGTGGGCTACTGGTAGTGTCAAGCTTGAACCTTGGGCGAGGAAGCACACACACCTTCCTGTTGGGGTTTGGAATGGTCGACAGTAACCAATGCCATCTCGTTTTGTGAGGGAAGGAGGCAAGAATCTTGGTCTCCCCCCGGGCCCGTTTTCATCTGTTTTCATGTAGTTCCGCCAGGAAACTTTCTTGGATGAAACGTGTGCCCAAGTAAAGTGGTCATGTGTGCGCAGGTTGCCGGGCCGATTATATATCAATTCACACGTTAACTCTAAATTCTTAATTCAGGAGAGGTCTTGGCGCGATCTACTCTATACATCATGCGACTCTAGCACGGGGAAAGCGGACATTCGACCAGTCCATCTTCACTTGGGTGAAATCATAGAACCCAACGTACAAGGCAGTTATCTCCCGTTTCAACGGCAGCAGCGGCAGTGGTGCACGATACTGTACTGCACCGCAGTCAGGTATTGGGCAGTGCCAAGACTTGTTGAAATGCAGTCGCGCGCAAACGAAGCAGAAGCTGTGACTGCACATGAAACTGTTCAGTTGTCAGGTCAAGACGCTGCGGTAAATCATTGAGCACGTACAGAACAGGATGAGACTTGAGGCGTCGACAGAGTTTGCATTGATGGTTTTTGTCCAGAAGCGTCGGCGAACGGAGGAGTCGTATTGTCGTCCAGATACAGCTCACGACGCGTGACCACCACAGCGTATGGGGCGTGCGCATCGTTATCGGCCAGACAGTCCAGTGCGGCGGTAATACAGCATTCGCGCAGATATGCGGTCCGCTCCTTCTGCCTTGTAGCCTCGAGTTCTGCGTCGTTGTGCCGTTGTTCGTGCAAGATGGGTGCATCGGCATTGATGACCGCTTTGAATGCGGCGTGGGCCATTCGAGCGAAGACTGCAGGTCCAGTATCAACTCGCAATAAAGATTTGAGGGCTTTTTCTGGAGAAAGGTCAGCCAGCGGCATGTATGTAATGGAAGCCGCACGCTGGATTCCTGGGCGCTCTGAGTTTGCCCGAAGTAGTGAGGGCGGTGGAGCTGCGAGCCTCTCGATGAATGAACGGCCTGGTCGTTCATGCAATGCTGAGTTTGTTGTCAGCGTCAAACGTCTGCAAAGAAGCCAAGTGAATCACGGGAAGGCGAATCGGGAGTGCGTGGCCGCTTGCTCAACGCTTTTGCAATAGCAGGGGTTGTTGGGAGCTGGCCTTCAGTGAGCGGGTTGTTTCGACCGCCAGGAAGCTCTAGCGTCAAGACACTTTCAGTTAGCTGGGACGTGGAGATGCGAGTGAGTACTGCTCACCAGAATCTGAAACCGGACTCTCGTCATCACTGCTCGATAGGTCGAGCTGGTCAGTCACCACGTTGGCCTCGTCCATAGCGTCAATGGAGGATAGCGAATGTCCTATTTAACTAATCATCACCGATTCATAATAAAAAGAAGCCACCGACCTTTGGGTCCCTCATCGCTGTAGTCGCTGCTACTGTAGTCGGGTTCCGAGGAAGGAGGCAGTGGAGAAGTACCCCGACGATGGGACATCGACTCCAAGTGGCAGGGATGTCGTTGTCGCGTTGAGAGAAGATATAACGTGTGACGCCTTGTTTTATATGGCACAATTTCGGTCGAAATCTTCCGGATTTTCAATTTGCAACGCAACCATCTCTAGTATAGGATGAGAAAAAGTTCAATTCAAAACGTCTTGGCTGGTTACATCGTGTTGGTGGTACAGTCGTCGATACACCTGTTTCTGCCATTCTGCATCACAGTCCATCCTTGCAGATCGCGGATCTCGTGTGTTCCATTGCTGCGTATCCAGAAAGATAGGCCGAAAGCGGCGAGGGCCCGGCGTTTGTTGAGACAGAGGGACCGCAGCCACAGCGTCATACCAGGTCGTTATCGAGTGCCGTTTCGGTCCGGAGATATAACGCTGCTCGACATTCCTCGCACTCCGTACCCAACAGTCGGCGTCATCCGCTGTCGGTGCAGTAAGCATTGGCGCATTCAATTGCGAGACTAAGAGTTGTCGTTTTTGGACCTCGCTCAAGGTGAATTTGCCCAGGACGCGCAACGTGTCCAGTTGCTCTTGGGAAGGGGGGGAAACACCACGAGGCAAATCTGCCTTTTCGCTATGCTCATAAGAAAAGACTTCAACAATGCCAAAGCGGCAAGGGTTTGAGCACTTGCCTTTCGAGGATCGAAGACCGAGGTTGCATGAATCCGACACTACAAAAACAGTTACTGGCTTTATATTTGAGCGCACATATCACAGACTGAGTTGGAGAGTATGGCCAGAGTTCGAAGGCGATCGCGGGCGCGAAAATGTCGAAGTCGATTCAAGGTCCAGGTTGTTCAGCACTTCAGCGATATCGATGGGCCGGTTGGAGTCGACTAAAACTGGCGGTGGTTGCGGTGGTAGCGCAGATGTCAATGTAACTGGTCCAGCTTGTGGCTCGGAACCTCCTTGGGAAAGCTTTTCTTCGACTCTTTCAGCAACGGGCGCCAAAGCGGCTTGTTCTTCACGTTTTGTTCGACGTGCCGCGAGAATCTGTAGTTGACTGGGCAAATATTAAGCACCCATGTGAGTGACTGGAGTGAGGAAACAGACTTTTTGCGGTAATAGGCTTTTGACGCATTGCGATGGACCTTCTGTCGTTCCTGCTTTGACTGACTGGAGGCAGTTAGTTGATAATGTGAGGGCAGGAAAGAGACAGGACACACCGTTGGTATTGGCGGAAACTTCCATCGCTGCTTGTGTTTGCGTTGAAAGGCCATTATCGTGGGGGAAACAAGGTGTGACCATGCTTGTCAAGTACTCTTTCTCGTCATTCTGCAACACTGGCTTTCGACTTATCGCCGCCGGGCAAGATTTGGCTCAAGGAGCTAGTGTATGCATAGAACAACTGTTTCATATGGATATTCTGCACGATGGAGAGCTTGGTGCGCTGGGAGAGCCGAAAAAGGTGGAGTCTGAAAAACCAAAATGATTCCTTGGCTCAAATAACGCTCAGAATGTCCTCTTGGTTACCAATAGATGCTATCTACGTTTTTATTTTGAGCGGAAATGCTATGGGGGGCTCTTGAAATTGCTTCCACAGGGAGGAGGTAAGAAGTCAATATTTGACGGCAGGAAGGCTAATGTGAGCTGGAAAGATGTTATGTCGTATTAGGAGTCATGCAATGTCCGAGCAATAGCTTCGTAGAGGGTGTAGAATAGTGTGTTCATGCCTGCAACCTCGTTCGACGGCTGCATAGGATCAGGGGCTGACATTACCAAATTAGGCTCAGCTGCAGGCAAATGATCGTCGTCTGTCGACCAATCCTCTCGAGGGAGCGCGTAGAGTATATAATATTGTCCAAGTTTGTAGGAAACAAAAGTAAATGTAAGCACTCCGCTACTCGGAGTCATATCCCCAATGGATCGGAAAGACACGAGTCCCGTCAGGGTGATGAAGGTTCTCCGCGACCTCGTACGGGATGAAATACATCCACCCATCCATTTTTCGCGGAAGCTGGTTGAGCTGTTGCAGCGCCCTACAGAAGTTCAGTTTCCAGCGTCCAAAGGCAGAGTTTGACCCACCAGAAAATGATACCGTGGACAAGGGGCCCGTCCTCGACATGAATGTCAACGAGTGGACTGGACCACAATTGCGTTCGCAGGCGAGCCAGTTCCGCTGGGGATGGAGGCTCGTCCAAACCGTTATCCGACTCCGATCGCGCGATCGGAGTATGGCGCACCACAAGCACATTCCCGAGAGGTGCGCGAGCCCCATCTCGAGCATCCTCCTCTTCTGGCAAGATGGCCTCGATCGCGGCGTTGGTGGAGAAGAAAGGACTGTCGTCGGGTGAGTGGGGACAAGTAAGAAACACGGCAAAGGAGCCGTCGACGTGAGGGTAGGTGGGTCGAACACATAGCGAGCACGAGATGGTGTTGTTGTGTAGGAGGGGGAGGAGATCCTCCACAGCCCTAGCTGCGTTGATCGTTGCATGAGGGAAAGGCACAAGTTTTGCAGCACCAGTCTCCGCGTCGTAGAGCAGGGCAGCAGTTTGGCCGGCTGCAAGCTATACAAATCAAGTCAGCCTCAGCCGCAGGGTGCGATGAATAGATGAATATACGTACGGGCTGAGCGAGGGGAGTGATTTGCAGTTGGCGGACGGGCAAGGTATCACTATCCATGAGGTCGGTATGAGAAGGGACGGTAGCTGGTGCTTCAAGTTGGGCTTGGCTTATATGCGCACAAGCATGTGGCTGATGAGCACATGTATGGGTCACAAACAAGTGACCCTAGCCTACAAGCCCCAAAAAGTCATTCCTGTCCTTTTTCGTACGGACAACTAGAAGAATCAGACGGTGAGAGCAAGCCCACGACCAGCCAAAGCGATTCACTGA